ATGAATTGAGCACCCCCAGTGAAAGGGTCATTTGACCCTCAAAGGGGTTGCGACCCACAGGTTGAGAACTGCTGGCCTAGGCTGACCAGGCAGAGGGCACTCGCAGAGCACAGCAGTGCCAGAGCTGCTAGCCCAAGTGTAGGCCTCCTCACGGGCCAGCTACCCTCCAGCTACCTCCTTGACCTGCCAGAAACCCAGCGGGCACTGTCTAGCCTCCAACAACCCTGCCCCCTCAGCTGGCAAGTTAGCCTGGCTCCATGCAGGGTACCCAGCATGGGCACAGGGCCGTAGGGCTGAGGGACAGGAAGGGGCCACAGTCTCCCTCTAAAGTGCCAATGGGTCCACTGCTGTGGTCAACAATTACCAGGAAAGGGGTGAGAGCAAACCTGGGCAGGGTTCCGAACTCCACCCAGGGCTCCAAACTCCACCCACCCAGCACCTCACAAGGACCACAGCCAGCCCCTCAAGTCCCTTGGTGTCCCCTGGGAATGAGCAGTGCTGCCCCATGACCCTGGGCTCGGGATGGCAGCACCTCAGCCAGCTCAGCCCCCAGAGGACAGTGCAGGCCGGGGAGGGGTGGGCTGCCACAGTGCAGGGACCTCTCCTGTGTGCTTGCCTGGGGCGGGCAGCATGCAAGCCTGCCAGCATCAACCACTGACAGACAGGTTACAGGGGCTCCATTGGTGCCCGGGCCGCCCCTGGGGTTGAGAGGCAGCAGTACGGGGCAGGCAGGGGCTGGCGGAGCAGTGAGCACAGAGGGAGGCAGGCTCTGGCCCATGAGGCATGCTAGCCTCTCCCAGTATGCTCTTCTCCTAAGGAAGCACATCACCACCGCCGCGACCACACCCCCTTTCCTAGTGCCTGGCCACTGCCCGGCAGTCCATTCCACAAGACAGGCCTCCTGGCAGCCACCACGCAGCAAGTTGGGGCTTTCAGCAGGCAGGGGGCGCTCTGGGGAAAGGCTGCTAGACAGGCTTTCCCGGGGTCTGGCCAGCTTAGGCATGAAGTGCACAGCTCTGGTCCTGAGGGGCAGCGCCCAGGGGTCAGGCGGTCATCAGAGGGGCGGGACTTGCGGAAGGAAGGGCTGCCAGAGAGCCAAAGAGGCCATCTAAGAAGCAGGAGTTGCTAAGGGGCGTGGCTTGTCTGAATGAAGGGAAAACAGATGGTGGGGACTGGCCCCACAGGCACCTGGAGCCAAGGCCAGCGACACAGGCAGGCACTGGCCGTTTAGTGACTGGAGCTGTCTGGGAGGGAGCCTGGTCGGCAGTTGGGGGGGGTGGGGGAGGGTAAGGCAGGGCTTGGAGGCAGATGGGTGGCATTGAGGGCACCCATGCTGCATGGGGAGGGCCCTACTCCAGGGCAGGGTCCCAGGGGCTTGGAGGGGCTCAGGCTAGCTCCCAGAAGTGTGAACTCATGCGACCCCATGCTGACCCCAGTTCCCAGCACCTCCTGTGAGGGCTGTGGGCAGCCCCTCTCAGGCAGAGTGACAGCTGGACGTAGCCTGGTGGTGACATAGGCAAGAGGAGCCCCTCTGCTGACCTTGGCACCAGGGGCACGTGGTGAAGACCCCTTTCCTCACCTGCCACCACTCACCCTGACCAGCCCACTTTGGGTGGGGGCAGGAGGCTGAGGGCGGAGGGCAGGGATGACCAGGCAGCTGAGGTGAAGTGGCCCCCACTCCCTGCAGCACCCAGAGTGTGGCACACCCTCCCCACCACATAGCAGGAGAGCTAGCGCCCTCACAGAGGCCTGGCACCTCGGCTGACCAGGAGCACGGGGGCAATGGAGGAAGCCGCCCCAAGTCCCCGAACACTGAGGCTGGACAACTAACTGCCCTGGTGACACGGTGGGACGTCCGGGACCGTGCTGGAGATCCTAAAGGCTTCGCCTCATCTGCCCAATTGCCTTGGCAGAGCCCGCAGTCACAAGGGGTCGGCCCTGCCACAGCTGGGGCCGGCTGGGCCTCTGGCAGCCACACACAGCTGCGCCCTGCTCCCCGGGCCCAGGCCTCCAGCCACAAGGATCTTCCTGGGTGTCCCCCCTCCCTGCCCACCCCTGCTGCCCCACCCCATCCAGGAGACCCAGGACTGCCTGTCCTCAGTAACACATGTCCACCCTGTGCAGCTTGGGTCAGCTCTAGAGCTACCATTCAGGCCAAGGTCCAGGAGATGACTGGGAGCGTGGGGGAACAGTGGGAGGGTGGGGGGACAGCGGACAGAGTGGGGCCAGAGTCTCCAGCTGCTGCTTCCCCGCAGGCAGGCAGCGAGGCCACACAGCTGCTGAACACTGCAGTTTTGAATTCAATTAAAGCGATTATCTGTTGTGCCAAATAAATTGTGTAGAGCGTCTCTCCCCGGGCACTCACACCTCCAGGCTCATTATTCCCTAACTGTTTCCTCCTGTTTATGCGCCCACAGATTAAACTGCTGATAATATGCGCCAAAATAAAAAATGGGCGCACCTTGTCCGAGGGAAATTGATTCTCCCTTTTCCTGAACCGGGCGATTGTCAGGTTTTATATACTCGGTTCCTGGTGATCATTAGTAATTCAATTTTCTTTTTATTAGCCCCCTTATCTGCTGAGCAATATAGTGGCAGAGCTGACCTCTTTCGCACGGGTAAATGTTTAAAATCTTTTCCCTGATTAATTTTGCCAGTTAAGAAAAAGAGGAGAAATGGCCCGGCTCTTAGCGATCACGATGAATAAAGCTTAATGTTGATTGTGATGGAATTTCTAATGCCAGGGAAATTGATTGAACGCAGCAATTACGCTGCAATAGTAACTCAAGGGAATGGGCTCGGCCAGGAGAGCCACAGCCTTTTGGTTATTTAAAACAATCCAATTTGCAAGGATAATTATGTATTAGTGTTTTATCTGCCACTTGAAAATGAACAGGGGAGTTTCGATACTGGCCCAGCATTAGCAGGTTATTGCTGCAAATTACTTGATATCTGCTTTCTTTCACATAAAGAGGAAATTAGGCAATCAATTACCAGAAAAAGGTGGACTATGGGCACGGGAGGGGCAGGCGCGCCCTCTGCTGGCTTTCGAGCAACCCCACAGGGCTGGAGGGAAGGGGACAGAGCCTTTCCAGGACACACCTGCCTTTGTGAAGCAGCCCCTCTGTCGTGCTGTGACTACACCCGCATGTCCCACGGGAACTTCTCCCTTCTGTGAGCACACTGGCCAGTGGCATCTCCTTGCTCAGGGCTCAGGGGCACACTGGCTGGGAGGTTAAAGGACAAGTGCAAGGTACTGGGCAGGAGCAGCCCCCACCCACCTGGGAGTCCTAGAGACAAGTGCCTGGCACCCACACACTGACTTGGGGAGTCCCACCACCTCCCAAAGCCACCTCAGAAGAGGTCTCCCGATGATGGTCCTCGTGCCGTGATGCCTGGCAGCCACACAAGGACAGGAGCCCAGCACCCCACACCTGAGCACCTTTTGCAGCCCCGCCCACTCTGAGGGATGCCAAGCCTGCACATTGCCCGCCAGCCCACTCTGCCCAGCTTTGGACCGTTCTCTGACCTGGGCCCACCCAAGTCCTCTCTGGTCCCCTCGCACTTCACCCCTTCTCTTCCTGCCCCCAGCATGCCACACAGGGCCACGCCCACCTACCTCCCCATCCTGTAGCTGTCAATTCACATGAGGAGTGTCCCCTCCCTGAGCCACTGCTAACCCTGTGACAGGCACTTTGTCTGCACCTCCAGCTTTTCACCAGTGTCTCTGGCCCACCATGTTCCCATCACAAAGGGGACCAACACGCACTGGGTGAGTGGGTAGGTGGATAGATAATAGGTGGGGACAGGTGGATGGTTGAATGGGTAGGTGGTTAGTAGATGATGAGCAGGTGGGTGAATGAATGGGTATATAGAAGAGTGAGTGGATTGATGCTGGCTAGCGAGGTAGGGCAGAGCTGGGTGGATTAGATGGGTACATGGCAGATGGGCAGGTGGCTGGGTAGCTGGTAAGTTGGTGGGTACGGGAAGGATGGGTGGGTTGTAGGGAGATGGTGGCTGGATAAGTGGATGGGGGGTGGCTGGTGGATGGTGAGAGGGTGGATGTGTGGACAATGGCTACATGATAGTGAGTGAGCAGGTGGAGGAGGGGTGGCTGGGAGATTGGAGGGTGGGGGAGTAAATGCTGACATTACTCCAGACCTGAACCCAGAGCAGGCTGATCTCTATCCAGGGAGGCCTCCTTCCAACATCCCAACCACCCTGTCAGGCCCCTGCCATCTGTGGGCATAACTTCTGACCCAGGCCCTGTCAGTCACCCCCACAGTGACCTGCCTGCCCCCAAGCAGCTGCATCTGGAGCAGTTACCAGGCCCCTGTGCCTCCTGAGGATCTCATGAGAGGGAATGAGTGAGGGAGGGAGGGAGGGAAGGGGAAAATGAGGGAAGGGGAGAATGGATGGATGGAAAGATTAGTGAGTGAGGTAGGAATAGGAAGAAAGGCTGGCTGGAAAGCCAACTGCAGGCGGCCACCCCTTGGTCCACTGGGCACTGCCTAACAGTCTATAGGAGCCAGAACTGGCCTGACTCTGGGCCTAAGCACCTCCCTGGCTCCCACACTTGAAGACGCCTTCCAGCCTGTAGGCTTAGGCAGGGCCTCAAGGCTGGGTCAAAGGGCAGGTTTTAGGCCCACTGCCCCAGCCCAGATTGCATGAGCATGAGCAGCTTCAGAGTGGACATAGGTCTGGGCCCCACTGCGAAAGCTGCTGGCACAGAGGAAACCAGGTACTCCTGAATCAGGGAGAACTAGGAGAGGGGAGGCAGGCCCAGTGTCCTAAGGTGGTGGTGGGGACAGGTGAGGCCAGGACGTCTGCCAGGCGGTGGTGCCCACATACTGTGGAAGAAGATCCCCTGCACCTGGAGCCAGCTGAGAGAGGAGTGGCTGGGCCAGCAGGTCCCCTCTCTGGACCACCACCCTTACCTTAGGCCAGTGCCCTTGCTGGCCTACAGTGCCTACCGCCCCAGCCCCACTCCCACTTCCTACCTTCCTTTGTGGGGGCAGGGGTCCGGGCCGCAGGCAGGCGGCACAGCCGGTGCCTGGACACCTGCAGCAGGCCCCTGTTGGGCATCCTCTTCAGAGCAGCGGGGCTGCTCTTTCCCCGGGGGGGTGGTCTGCGCCGGAGGCTGAAGCGGCTCTTTGTTGCAGCAGAAGTGGCAGGGGGGCTGCTCTTCTTGTCCCCAGGCAGGCTGTGGAGACCAGCAGGGAGCTCCTAACTGGTTCAAGGGCTCTCCCCGCCCTGTGCGCCCACCCCACATGGCTCCCTGCTGCAGCAAGCATGGGCTGAGATTCTGATGACCAAGGGCTCTGCCCAAAGCCCAGCCGGCCCCTCCCGAAGGACTGCCACCAAGGCAACCCAGCCCACAGGCCCCCTCTGCTGTCTCCTCCCAGGCCTCCTGGTTCCCAGGGGGTACAGACTGTGAAGGCTAAATCAGAAGCCCATGGAGGTTGCACCCACTGCCCATCGGCTGGCAGCCCAGGAGCAGCTGGGGGAGAGACAGATGACTGCTCCTCCCGTCTTGCCCGAGCTGAGCTCACGCCCTGCCTGACTGGCCAGGGCTGCCTGGGTCTCCCCACCCCAGAGACCTTGCACTACCTCCACTGCTGTCCCCGCCTGACGAGCGCTGTGAAACACACACACACACACGCACGCACGCACGCAGACGCTTCCCACACAGGCCAGCACAGCACAGGAGCTCAGTAACAGCAGATGCCGCCCTTCGAGGACTACCACAACCCTCCCAGGTGAAGCCCCCTGCTCACCGCCCTGGCCGGGCACAAGCCACAAGCACATACCTGCCCCCGCTCCGTCGCCGGATGATCTTGGTACGGCTCTGCACTTTGTACCCCGAGAGCGAGGGGTCCCTGAAAAGTGGCTCTGAGCCACTGGGACCCGCTCCTGCTGCCGCCGCTGCACTATCCTCAGGAAATGATGGGGAAAGAACTGGGGAGAGCGGGGCAGGGTGGTCTCGGGAGCCGGCCTCTGGTTGCCAGTGGAAGGGGGCAGCAGCCGAGGGGCTGGCTGCGGCTTTCCACTTGTACTTGCTGCCAGCCATGGGAGATGGAGTGGCTTTCCTGGTCTTGACGTCCGGCTCAGCTTTCAGCTGCGGCTTTGCCAGCCTCCCTGCCCCGCCCACAGGGGCCCGAGCTGAGTTATCTGCGGCCACTCTGGGGCTCAGGGTGTGCCGCGCAGCCCGGGGACTCTTGGCAGCGGTAGCCACCCATTTGTAGTTGTTCTTCCGGAACCTGCTGGTCCGACAGGATGGAAACTTCGAGGCCTCTGGGGCCTGCCGGGGCCCTGGGCCAGCCACCAAAGGGGAAGGCTGATCTGGGTGGCCAGCATCTGCCCTGCTGTCCACAAGGAGCTGGGCGGCACAGGTGGCTACAGGGTGCAAGCCCATCTTCCGGCCAGGGGCCCCCGCGCTGCGCGGAGGCTGAGCAGGTGGGGCTCGCGCCTTGACAGCGATGGCGCCCTCGCTGACTGTCCGCCGGGGGCCTGGTGGGCTCCTGCTCACCCTGCTGACAGACCTCACGGCCCGGGGCCTGCCTGGCTCCTTCTGGCACACCAGCAGGGACTCCTTCGCAACCCCACCACCGCTGCCACGGTCCTTGACTCTGCCTGCCCTTGAGGGCTGCAGCTTGGTGCCAGAGGGCTCGCCCTGGCCCTCTTGGGGTCTCTGGTCACTCCAGGGAGTGCCGTCACGTTCTTCCAAAGGACCCTGCTGGGCTCCCATGACAATGGCCAGGCCGGGCCTTGCTGGAGGTGTGACTCTGATGACCATGTTCTGACCTGGGCTGAGCCGAACCTGCCTCTGGAGGACGCAGGGCTGTGGGCTGGACACCATGCTGGGCCCAGCCCTGAGGGCAAGCTGTGCAGTGCCGTCACCAGTCAGGTCCGTGGATCCCGGAGGCCGGTTCACTAAGGAGTACTTCTTCCGCCACTCGGGGCCCTGGGGTGGCGCAAAGCCCCTGCGGCTGGGCCGAGGGTAGGAGACACTGAAAGATCGGCCACAGTGGTATGCAGGCGGCTGCCACCGGGAGGTGGGCATGGGGGCGCCCCGGGCCAGGGCACTGCCGTGAAGGTTTTTATAGTCATCGATCAGACCTGAGAAAACAGGGTCACAGTGTTGTCATTGAGGGGAGTCAATGGAGGGCCAGTCCTCATCCACCGGCCCCCAGGCTCACACCTTGCCTTGGGCAGTTCAGAGGGGGGAGCCTCCTATTAAAGCTCCTGACACAGGGAGCCCTTCCAGGTCCCTGTACGCCTGTAATGGGGTTTGGCTTGGGCTTCCTGTATCTTATCAGTGGCACCAAGCTAACTTGGCCCCTGGTGACTGTGTGTATAACAGAAAGAAACCCGATGGCAACCACGTGAGCCACTGTCTGCTCATTCTGTGGGGTCCTTGTCTTCAGAGCCTGCAGGCCCTGCAGGCAGGTGCTGGACCAGCTTGTCCAGTCTCCTGATGGCGTGAGTCAGTCTCGCCACCCTCCCTTTGAGGAGAGTCCAGTGCCCCACCCGCCTGCCCAATAGGGCTGCCACTGCAGCAAGATACCACCAAGGGGGCTCCAACCCAAGGCCACCCTGTGGTGTGATGTTTTCCGCTGGCCTATCTTTCAGGGGACGTGCCTCTCCACATGAAGAGCCTACGCAGTTTAAAGGCTCCACAAGCAGGATGGGGTCGGCCAGAGGCAAAAAGGAGCCCTCTGGGGGCAGAACCGCATTTTCATCATCTCCTCTATCCAGCCCACTCACCGTACAATGAATGCCACAGGACTGACACCCAGGGCACCCCGCCCCAACTCCAGCTAGCGACAATTCATGTGTCACATGCTGTCCTCCCTGTCACGTTGTCCTCCTGCACAAGAGGCCAACCACTCACCTGTGCCACACTGTGCCACACTGTAAAAGCCTTCCCTGTCCTGCCTGAGAGAGGCCTGACCAAAAACAAAACCCAGTGCCACTCTGTGGATTCTGGCTCACGGCGACCCTCCAGGGCAGGCTAGAACAGCCTCTGTGGGTGTCCAAGACTGGCACTCTGTCCAGGAACGGGAGGCTTCACCTGTCTCCGGTGGAGTGACTAGTGGTTTTGAACTGCTGAGCGTGCGGTTAGCAGCCAAGATGTATTCCACTCTCCATTCCCCAAGAGGTCCTTCGTTGAACAACCAGGGCATCAACTCAAGGAACACGTTGGTATGGGGCCCGGAGGTACCAGTATCCCCCACCCTGAGAGCCTGGTCCGACTTGGTGACACCTGAGAACAGTGATGGCACAAGAGGGTGGGGGCCCCCCCGGCTCTCATTGGCTTTCCAAATTCCGGGTCTTCTCTTCCAGTGCCCTGGCGCCCAGGGCGCTGTGGGCTGGGCCGGCGGCCCGAGGGAAAGACGGGGCCTCTGCTTCCGTCGGCGCGTCAGGGCCCACGCAATAGCAGTGAGTTCGCCGGCTCTTTGCGGCAAGAAGCTCACAACGGGGCTTCTAGAAAATGGTTTGGGAAGTCTAGCGTGGGCCTAAAACTGGGGCAGTGTGGCGGCCGAGGCCTGGGCAGGCGGGGCCCAGCGCCGTGGGGAAGGGGGCCGCGGGGCGACCGTGGGCGCCGGGAGGGCGTGGACGGCCGCCCGTTACTAAGCGGCCGAGGGACTAGGGCTGTGGACCAGGCCCGACCGGGCGGGGGCTGACGGGCCGGCCCGAGGCGGCTCCGGTGCCCCTTCGGCGGCCCAGCCCAGCGTTCGCCACGGACAGCGCTCCCTCAGCAAGGGCCGACTGAGCGACGACGCCCTCCCGGGGGGCAGAAGCTCGCCGCGAGGGGCGGCCGAGTCGAGAAGCGCACCCCGAGCCCCCGGCCACCTACCCTGCAAGAGACGGATCTGTCGCCGTAATTGCTCCTTTTCCTCCATCTCAGGAGACCACGACGCCCAGCCAGGCCCTGGCAACGTCATCGCCCCGCGACCGTTTGCCTCCGGACGGGGCGGAGCCGGGGGGGGCGGGGAAGACGAAGCCGGAAGCCGTGAGCCCCACGCAGAGCGGAGCCTGCGTAGTGCGCCTCGGCCGCGAGCGTCGCCCTGGCCACGCCCCGGCCACGCCCCGGGGTCTCCGGGGGCGGGGCCACGCACGCGCAGAGCGAGAAGAGGCGAAGCTGGCGGCACGGCGGCACGCCAGAGGGCTGACAGCTGTTCTTGAGTCACCTGGTAGGCCTGGTGAACAGGCTAGGTAGACCACCGCCCGACCCCGGAGAGGCGCCGCCGGGGCCACCGACCCCGCCCCGCTCACGTCCCTCTGGACGTCATGGACGAGGATCGGAGGCCAGAGCCAACCACCTGGTTTTCTCAGAGACGTTCTTCATCTCTGAGCTTCAATAGCCTTACCTGTAAAGGGAGTACTAGTCCCTAACTGACCTCTCAGGGCTGTTTATGAAGGGGTATATACCCAGGAGCCCTGGTGGTGTAATGGTCAGCAGTTTGAAACTACTAGCCACTCCTCGGGAGACAGATGAGGCGTTCTACTCCCATAAGAGTTACAGTCTTGCAAACTCACAGGGCCAGTTCTACCCTGCCCTAAAGAGCCACTTGATGAGTCAGAATCGAAGTGAGGGTAGTGAGTTTGGTTTTTAGGGTAACCTTGTTATCGCTCTATCACTGCAGTTTTGCCTTATTATCCACTGTTCACCGCTAACAAGGGTCTTTGCCCTGCAGCAGCTGAGCTGACTCACTAACTCCGAAGTTATAAAGGAAGAAAGAAGTTTTATTAGTGGCTACGCCCAAGGAAGCCAGCAGCACACAGGGTGTCTTAATCGTGTCCTGTTTGAAGTCAGAATGCTTGGAAGACCTAACATCTTTTGCTTTGCTTTGGGATTTATCCTTTGTGGAGTCATGTAAATGATGATGTTTTGCATTAACTCGGATTTCAGTTAATTGTGAGCATTCATTATTAACCCTGGGCAAACAGCAGTAAGGTTCTTCAAAACCTAAGTCTCAGAAAGCCTGTTCACTCACAAGATAACAGGGATTCAGGGGTTTGGGTCAACAGTCAGGCATATTAAAGAAGTCCTCAGTGCCCTCTTGTCCTTCTAGGAGACATACAGGCCAACCCGTTTTTCTCTCAGCACATGAGTAATAAGTCCATAAAGACAGCACTTAGCAAAGTGAGTTTTTCTAACTGCATTAAGTAACTTGTATTAAATCATAGTTTTAATCCACCCCATCCATTCCCAGGTACCCCTGCCTCCTTCCCACATGCCACAAGTTTCTATTGTATTTTTTAACATCTCGAAAAATCAAAATGTCGAGAATGACAGTAAAAAGGAATTATTTGCACTGATGCAATAATGAGATCTTGGTCCATTCAATAAGTGGTTCTGGAGCAAGTAACAAAGCATCCTTTGGTAAGGAAAAGGGACTGTCAATATCTACCTCCAAAGAAACCCCCCCAAAACGAAATGGATTGCCATGATGGATCAAAGACCCACACATAAAAGCTGCACATTATAAAGCCTCTAAAAGAAATTAAGAATTAGCTTCACAACATTTGAGTAAGCAAAGATTTCTTACACAGGACACTCACAAAAAGCACTAGTTAAAAAAATAATCATCGAAAACATTAAAAAGAGCCTGCCCACCATAAGGTAGTATGAAGAGTGAGCGTGGAAGCCACAGTCCCTCCCAGTTCTGGCTGTGATGGAGGGATGAGCATCAGGGGCCAGAGTCCCACTTAACAACAGTCTAAAAGTAGAAATGACTCCGTGGGAACGCAGGCACTGCCACAGCAGCAGCAGAGACCTTGCATCCTTGAAAAGAGAAGCTTCTGCCTGGGACAGTGGTTCAAGGGAGAAGAGTACAAATAGGCCAATTTTATTTGGCCAGTCGGCCATAACAGCTAGGAGCCTTGAAAAGCTCTTGAACCTTGGCTGAGGCCCGCTTGCCTTCTAGCCGCTGGGAGAGAAACAGCACGTGCCTGCTTACGTCCAACAGGCATCCCTCTGGCCAGCCAGCTGCCAGACAGGTCAGTGGGGCCAGACAATACCGCATGGGGCCCAGATGAGATGTCTCAGCAGATCCCAGCCCACATCACCAGCTCAATTGATCAGGAGCAAATCTATGGATGCTGTTTTAAGTGACTTTTTGTTTTTTTCTCCTGGCAATAAATACTTTGATTTGGGGTTTGTTTGGGGCTTATGATGACAAATGGTGTTCGGGTTTATTTCCTTTCCTTTAACTACAGAGCTAAAGTACAAACAGATGTGAGCTGGGCCTACCATCTCACAGGTACATGCTGCTGTGGGAGGCCTCCTCCTATGGGCTTGACCCTTCCCGTGAGGTGTGGGGGCTGAGAGGAGACTTCCGGGAGCACCATCCCTAGGGAGGCCTGGCGAAATCAAGGGGACAGGCTCTCACACCTGTCTGCACATATATTTACCTGAGACCTCCCTGGAATGAAGGTCAATACAGAGAATCCATTCCCTAGAAGGAAGGAGGGAGCTACCTGTTCCTCCTGGCATCATTGAGTTCATGACTATCTTTTGGGGAGACTTGTTACACAGCAAAACCTGACTGACATTTGGGTCTAAGTCTAAAACTTGTCTTCTGTGCTCCACTCATTCTCTTCCTGAACAGGGATGGCGGGGTGGAGTGGGGCGATTGGCAAAGACACCCCCTTACTGAGAGGGGCTAGGTTTGTGGATTTCCTGGCTGAGTGTGTGACACTGCCCTGGGAACTAAATGCTGGCCACGTGGACTTGCTCAAACCAATTTGGGCAGTCCCCGAATGCCCACTGGCCAGCCCGGGAACTGAGAAAAGGAGGCATGAGGTGGCTGTGTAACTTCAGTCTGTCACCAATGCCTGTCAACAGCTGGGAGGATTGTGTGCCTGGCGCATGCTCCACAACACCAACGAGCACATCTCAGCGCCTCTTTGGCACCCATGGTACCGGTTGAAAGGAGAGAGATGGGTGGGGGGTAGGGGGGGGGAAAGTGTCTGCTTGGCACACTCCAAGCTGTAAACTTGCTCATTGTGACGTGCAAAAAAATGCTGTGCTCCCCCATGTTCAGAAGTTCAGCGTCCCTGGGTGCACTTCATGGCTCCTGAAGCGATTGCTCAAGACCCTCAGAAGGCGCCCAGCATGTTGGCCAGTGAGGGGCAAGAGGGAGCAGCGTGGGTCCTGGGCGGAGCTAAGAGGCAGGGGGGGTGGGTGTCGTGGAGCAGGGGGACAAGGCAGGTGAAGGGAGGGAGGAGGAGGAAGGTGACCCTGGAGCGTCAAGGGCCTGACCTGGCCGCGTGCGGACACACTCCAAGACCCGGTGCCAGGTCCCCACTGACTCATCAGGATGGAGGGGTGGGGAAGGGGGGCGCGGAGAAGAGGCCGGGTGGCCGCTGTGTGCTAAGGAGCACGCACCATCCACCGAGCGGCCCTCGGTGCCCGCCCCTGGCCCCGCCTCGCCTCTGCACCCGGGTTGCTCCCTGAATGGCTGCCTCCGCCCGCGCTGTCCCCGGGCCCTCAGGGTTGCTCTCTGCCCCGGGGCGCAGTGAGGGCGTCGGGGTCTGGCGGGAAGGCAGGTTCCTCTCCCTTGGTGAAGCCCAGCCATTTGACATCCTGGGAGAAGCCCTCCAGCCCCTGGTGTCCACTTGCCGGGGGTAAAAGCCTCCCCAGCAGGCCGCAGCCTCCTCTTGCCTAGGGCTGAGTAACGGTGGTGGCAGCCAGCCCGGGGAGCCAGTACCGGCCTTCTCACTTCCTGCGTCTGCAGCTGACTCACGCCCGCCCGAAGGCCCCGCCCCGCCTGGCAGGCACTTCAGAGCTGAAGTGTAAACAGGCCGGCTTTACTCAGGAGGGCAGGCTGGACATCCTGGTCACTCCTCGGCCCCACCAGCGCCGGCCTTGCTGCAGACTCGGTGCCTGCTGCCACCACCCTATTCCCAGGGGACAGCCACGGTCTTCTAGGGGTGCCGTGTCCCCAACCCAGCATGCACGTAGAACACCAGGATGGCCTGGTCTGGAGCCTCAGTGTCCCCAAGGGAGCTCAGGAGCTGAGGCTGTGAGCACTTGGGGGCAGGGCAGAGGGCCCGGGCCAGTCCTGGGCCAGCAGCATCACCCACATGCACAAACTCACACAAGCCCACACATACAAGCACCTACAGATGCATATGTTTGCCCATAAACTTGCATGCACATACCTCCAGGTCCACACATGCATACCCATATAGATACCTACTTACACAAGCACACACAAACATACCATACACATGCAGATGGACATGCATGTCCACGTGTGGACACACTCATACTGTACACATGTGCACATATACACAGGTGGGACGGACACGCAAACTCTCCTGAGCCCTCCCTGGCGCCTCCATCCCCTTCTGTCCAACTCAGGCCAGCTAATGGGAGCCCCTTGCCAAGTGGGTGGATGGCCTGGCCTCAGGCTGCCAGCCAGCAGAGTCCTGGGCCTCCAGCACTCGGGAGGGATCAGGACCTCAGGGACTTGCCAGGCCGCTCTGGGGCAAACAGAGCTTGTTATTCGGCCCAGGTCCCTCAGCCCTGCGCATGGCAGATGCCACGATCCTTGGGTGAAGGTTGACGGACATGTAGTATCTGTTTCACATGCAACCACTTGTGCACATGTGGTTTCCTCTGGGTCTGGGTCGCTGGAGGCCCCTCTGTGCACCAGCACAGCCGGTCTCATCTCCGGGTCCTCCTGCCTGCCCAGCCCTCTGGATGGTGTCCTGGGAGCAGCACTGCCTGGACCTCCCGTGGGCAATGAGTCTCAGGCCTGCGAGATTCCCTGGTGGTGTGCTCCCAACTAGGCCTGTCTGTTTGGGGCTGAAAACGGTCTGAGTGAGTTCAGCCATCTCGCGGGCGGGAAGCCTGGCCTCCATCGTGATTTAAGGTTCACCCTACGTTCCTCTTCCGCTCTCTGGAGAGCCTTCTTTGCACCTCTC